TTGTGAGGAAGATCAGCCCTGAGCTAACATCCGTGCTAATCCTCCTCTTTTTGCTGAGGAAGACCGGCTCTGAGCTAACATCTATTGCCAATTCTCCTCCTTTTTTTTCCCCAAAGCCCCAGTAGATAGTTGTATGTCATAGCTGCACATCCTTCTAGTTGCTGTATGTGGGACATCACCACAGCATGGCTGGAGAAGCGGTGCATCGGTGCGCACCCAGGTTCCGAACTCCAGCCACCAGCAGCAGAGTGCCAGCACTTAACCGCTAAGCCACGGGGCCGGCCCCAGTACTTCCACTTTTTTGGCAATGCAGAATCTGCAAGCTGACCAGTCCTTCTGGGCACGCATCATCCGTGGAGAATGAGCACGCCCCACGGATTTCAGACGGTTCTGTGGAGTCAAGTGAGAGGCTGACTCCTGTATAAACTAAAACAGACAAACATTGCACCATGGGAACCAAGGACTCAAATTCAAAGCCAACAGTCTCATGCTGACTCGACTCTAGTGATGGCATGGTAGGGGGGAAATCGGGTGGTGACTGAAGTTCAGGAGTAGAAGAGGTACAAGGAAGCTGGATCGATATGGAGAGAGAGATGAGCGAAGGAACTCCACGACCAGGGCTGTCATCACAGCCAGAGTGATGGACAGACTGAGAGGCCCCGTGTGTCCTGGTCCCCTGAGGAGGCCTCGGACGGAGCCCCCAACCCACACGCAGACAGTTGGCTGGTCAGGAGTGCTCAGCGTGCAGGCCCACGTTCCCACTGGACACTGTCTGTGCCTGACAGTACTGGTTTTAACTGAAAATACTTCCAGTCAGGGAACACTCTATGTGTAAGGAAAAAGAGAGCAGGTTTTCAGCAGGTAAAAACCGAATGCTCCCCGGCCTGCAGCAGGGCCCTGGAACTCCTGCAGCTGTACCAGCAGCTTGAGGTGTGGGTCCCCCGGGGTCAGGAACAGTCGTGGGGCTCCCCGCCACGGCTGTTTTCAAGGCACTTCTGTCAAGGTCAGTAAGTGTGGGGAGATTTTCAAGTTCATCTTCCACTGCAGTTAACAGTCGGATTGCTGCCGTGTTGCAAAATACAGGTGTACTCAACAGATTAGCATCTTTTCAAACATCAACTCAGAAACTTCTAGATCCCAAAAGTCCACAGGTGCAAATGTGCAAGACCTGAAGAGGTCTTCAAAGTGCTTCCGAAAGGCAAGGCTGCTGGCGTGCTAAGCTCCCAGCTGCCTCTTACCCTGCCTGGGTAAGAGCTCAGTAAAAATCCAGCCGTGACTGCACGGTCTTGCAGCCCTTGTCTGAGTAGATTTTCTCGTCTTTGGGGAAAAACGTCATTTCCTCTGCCACCCTGGTGACAATGTCTTCATCTATGGCAGAACCGCGGGCTCTCATCTCTGCCCTCACACACATCTTCACGTGTCCGTACTCCAGGGGCAGGAAGGGGATAAAGTAATCGATGAGGTTTCTGTCTATCAGACCGCTGTGCCACAGGCCACCTGTGGAATAAGACACAGCTGAGTTTCCTGCCTGTCACTGTCACCTGCCAAGCTCACTGCTCCTACAGGGCCCGTTTTGATCCCAACCCACAGTAATTCTTCATGTCTTTACCTCTCGAGGTTCTTTTTGTCAAGCATGGCACAAGCCTGATGTGAGCATCAGCTGGCTACCCCTGCTAACTGGCTTCTAGAATAGAATGCCCTAGAAAAAATCCCTACTTCAGCAAAGCCACGGAGGCAGGCGGATTCTGTGGCTTTGTGAAAGGCTTAAAGAAAGCGGAGAAGACTCTGCTGGCAGGTTAAGGGGCTCCTCAGCCTGGAAGACTCACTGTGTTTATTATTGAAGACTCCTACAGATAGTACAGGCTCCAGGTCCTTCAGCTGAATCTCTTCCCTCTTTCTTCCTGCGCGCCAAAAGTCGAGGGCCGTCTTAGTGATGAGGTCCCCACCTGCGTTGCTGAGTTTGCCCAAGAAACAAAGATTAGAATCACATATTAAGACATCTGTGTCTAATCAGGCAACATACCTGCTCTCAGGTTTATTCTTAACCATGGAATATTTACTAAGTGCTACCAGACAGAAAAAATAGTGGCCGCCCTCAAGGAGCTTAAAATCTGCCTTTTTAGAACTTGCTGCGTAATGCTACGACTTTTTATAACCCTCAGAGACAACTGCAGGTAATGAAATTGCCTGTTATCAGCAATTATTTCTTTAATTCATTTTCACCTGCCCATGCTCTGTGCCATGCTGATACTAACAACCCAAAAGGAAAAGAAGTCACAAGTCACTTTTGCCAGGCTGGCACTTCTGTCTCTGGGGAAACAGAAAAATGATGGTTGCCAGGCCTTCATTCTAGCACTGGGAGAATGAAGAGCTTGTGTGCCCCTGAAAAAACCCCTCCCGCTGACCTGAGAAAGATGAAGATGGCCTTCCGGTAAGACACGCCATCAACCTGCTCGTAGTAGTCTAGAAACGGCTTGATTGCATCGATGATCCCGGGGTGCAATTTATCCATCTCGTCAAATATGAACAGGGAGCTCGCACACGCACTCACGTTACCCCGAATCCACTTCTGTAACTGGTCCTAGACCAACCACAAAAGAAGAAATAGGATGCAGAGCCTCGAGGATGTGCCAAGGCAGCAGAAGCTACACTGTGCCTCGTGCTCTGAAAGACGAAAAAAGAGTTCTTTAACAAAGAACTCTTAGAAACTGCCTCCTGGGCCGGCCCGGTGGCTTAGTGGTTAAGTGTGCACGCTCTGCTGCTGGCGGCCCGGGTTCGGATCCCGGGCGTGCACCGACGCACCGCTTCTCCGGCCAAGCTGAGGCCGCGTCCCACATACAGCAACTAGAAGGATGTGCAACTATGACATACAACTGTCTACTGGGGCTTTGGGGGAAAAAAATAAATAAATAAAAATTAAAAAGAAAAAAAAAAAAGAAACTGCCTCCTAACCTCCGTTCACACAGCTTTTCCAAAACTTTATCTGCAAAAAGTGGAAGCAGGCGGAGGAGAGATAGGTGCTAAAATGCAAAGAATTTTTTTCCTGACTCAAATGACGTGCTAAATGTGACTTTTTAAAGGTATCAGATGGGCCGGCTCCGTGGCTTAGTGGTTAAGTGCGTGCGCTCTGATGCTGGCGGCCCGGGTTCGGATCCCGGGCGCGCCCCAGGGCACCGCTTCTCCGTCCAACGCGAGGCCGAGTCCCACGTACAGCAACTGGAGGGATGTGAACCTACGACATGCAACTATCTACTGGGGCTTTGGGGGGAAAAACATGAATAAATAAAATCTTTAAAAAAAAAAAAATAAAGGTATCAGAGGTACGAGATATGTGAATATCATTTCACTGTTAACCAACCCATAATTTTCATCTCACTGTGCACTGAAATCTCAAGGTAATTTTACCAGACATAAGGAGGAATAAGAAACTACGTTAAGACTCGCACGGTGCCCAAGACCAGTGCCTTTTACTGGTGCAATGAGCAAAGGACCTGACCGAGGTGACGTTTTATGAAAAGCGTTTGTTCCTATGCTTTCTTGAAACAAAGAGACTCAGGCAACAAGCCCTCATCCCCCAACCGTGAAAGGCTCCAGAAACGCCGTGAAACTGCTCCAGAGGCCCCTCACCTGACTATATTTCTAGAGATTTATGAAAGAATCTCGAAAACAAGGAAATCCCTGTTTCTTATTGGCAATCTTCCCTGTCTTACAGTCTGTGTGGCAAATGTTCACTTTCACTTCCTTGTTCAGTTAAGTTTCTATTGCTAATTTCAGTCTCCATCCAACAGCAGGAATATTATCCTTTACAAGGACGAGTCATTTAAATAAGAACCTACTAGACAACTTAATATAAATTAAATGTGGAAAGAATATCTCAAAAGAAGAAACAGTCTTAAGATTCAGTTCTCTGAGGCTTTCATTTGAAGAAAGCAAGCCATGCCAAGGATTTGAAGGGTGGGAGGAACAAAGGGAATAAAAGCTATTGAGGAGAAAAAAAAAATCCTCTAGTGCATGTTGCTAAATGCAGAGGCAACGCTGAAGCATAGGTGGGAGCCTTAAATGAAGCCGCGTCCAAGCAAATCATTTACGACTGCTCTGCTTAACCAAGGGCTGTGATGGGAATGCTGAACGCGCTCATTCATGGCAGAACGCGGCGACCCTGCCAACTGGGAGTTAGGAGATTTGGGTTCGAGTTTCTGATTTGCCACCAGGTCACAAAGATTGTCAGAAGCAAGTCACCTTGCCTCTCTTGGCTCCATCTTTTAAGGGAAATAACATCACCTATCCCACTGTATCACGTTGGAATCAAGTGAGAAAAAAGTTCTAGGAGAGCTGTACACATGGCAAAGGGTAACCGGGTTACCTTAACCGGGTTAAGGGTGCCTTAACCCAGCGAGGTCTGACGCTGGTGCAGTGAAGAAAAGCAGCAGAGGCAGAATGAGGGAGCAGATGGCCCAGACCAGTTGGAGTGGCCGGTGGATGGGATAACAGGATTCCCTTACCTGGTACAGTTTTATCTGCTGCTGGTGAGGGAAGTGCAGAGTCGATACAAACAGGTGGACAAATTTACTCTTCAGGCCTTTTGAGTGAAGATTCTCAGCCACAATCTGGCTGACAAAATTCTTTCCCGTGCCAGCCCAGCCGTGCAAGGAAAGAGTCAGTGGTTTCTTGGGATTTTTGTTGTTCCGGAAGCCAGTCAGCGCCTTGAGGATCACCTCTGTGGCCAGATGCTGCCCAAACAGCCTCTCCACCAGATCCAACTTGAGGGCTGCAGGAGCGGGCCCGAGAACAGAGAGAAAAACACATTAAATACGCCCCAGAAAAGCAGCACTTTTCCCAGCTGGCTAACGGGAGAGGCACAGATTAGCAAGTGGTCCCTCAGGGGCTCTGCCAAACCCCTGGGCTGGCACTGAGGCAGAACCACAGGTCGCAGAGTCACACGATGCCACTTCCAAGGAAATGCACTAGGTGAGTGTCCTCCTTAACACTCAGGTGTCTGATAAGGAAGCTAAACGTGTTCGTTCATCCAGTGATTAGCCCCCTCTTGGCTGAGCTGCATGCTACTTCCCCAGCCACCCCTGCTGTCTTGTAAGACAACCAAGAGCCAGATGTGGGCTTTCTGGGCAGACGCTGCGCGTCTGAACACTACTTACAACAGGGTTGGCGTGGCGCAGAAGAGCTGGCCACGCTGCTTTCGGTTTCTTCTTACTGTAATCCCAAGGAATCCGAACATTTGGGAAGGAACCGGGGCAGGGCCCCATGATCTGGAGAGTCTGTCTCAGAAGGCACGGCTTCCAGGGCTGGGGTCCGGACCGAGGCCCCATCCGCCCTCCCTCCCCGCACCCCGGGAGCGCCGCGCCCCGCGCGCCCCGCGTACCCGACGCGTTGAGCGGCTGCTCCTCGCGGCAGCACTCGGCGAAGCGGCAGTACACCTCCTTGTAGGACAGGTAGCCGGTGAGCGCCGACGCCGCGCCGATGACGAGGCTCGCGCTGATGGGGTCGAACGCCGCCACCGCGTGGGCCGCCAGCAGCAGCCGCAGCGCCGCGACGCCCCCCAGCCGCCCCGCCCGCCGCATCGCCCCCTAGGCGTCCGCCACCTTCCTGGCGCTGGGCCCCCAGCAGCTGAGAGGAGCGAGGACTTCCGGTTCGTGCGTCACTTCCGCCCCGCAGACCCACCCACCTCCTGGGGTGGCCATGCTGGTGAGGGGCGTGCCTCTGCACCGCCATCTTTGTGAGTGGCGCGAAAGGTATTAAGTGACTCAGCCTCAATCCCCACGCCTAGCTTTTACGGTTTTCTTTTCTTTTTCTTTTCTTTTTTTTTGTGAGGAAGATCAGCCCTGAGCTAACATCCATGCTAATCCTCCTCTTTTTGCTGAGGAGGACCGGCTCTGAGCTAACATCCACCGCCAACCCTCCTCCTTTTTTTTTCCCCCCAAAGCCCCAGTAGATAGTTGTATGTCATAGCTGCACATCCTTCTAGTTGCTTATGTGGGACGCGGCCTCAGCATGGCCGGAGAAGCGGTGCATCGGTGTGTGCCTGGGATCCGAACCCAGGGCCGCCAGTAGTGGAGCGCCCGCACCTAACCACTAAGCCATGGGGCCGGCCCGGTTTTGTTTTCTTAAGAGCTTCTCAGACCCCCCACACATTGCTTTGTCACCCTTCCTCTCATTTCCCTGGAGCTATAATCAGCGTTTCTCATGTCTACCCACCTGCCTGCCTTCCTGGGGATACACGAAGGCAGACGTGCGCTGGCGTGCACAGTCAAACCCAGAAGTCCATTCTTTCATGCAACATGCTCCAAGACAGGCCCCTTTCGCGATGCTGGGAAGACAGCAGTGAAGGCCCTGCCCTCTCGAGCTTCTAGGCTTTGGGGAGTGCAGACAGTGGGCAAGGGCCAATAGTGAGCCAACGGAGAAGCACAGGGGCCGTGGAGCACGCAAGGCTTTTGTTTAAACTGAGAATTGAAGGAGTTAGCCAAGCAAAAAATTGAGGAGTAGAATATTCTATGCAGAGAACAGAATATGCAGAAAGTACAGTTTGGGAACTGAAAGTATTTCACATGGTGGAGGCTGGTGAGAATGAGGTTGGAGAGCAAGACAGAGACTGGAAGTGGATGGCTTGCAAGTGCTGTAAGGAGTTTGGCCTCTGTTCTTGGAGGTAATAGGGAGCCACAGAAGGTTTTACACAGGGAGCAACATGGTCAGATCAGAGATCACTGGCTGCTAGGTTCAGTGAGGATGCTGTTACAGCGGTTCAGGTAAACTTGGCCCAGGCTTTGCTGAAATTGATTTGAGTTCATCCATCAGCCAACTATCAACAAATATTTAATGAACACTGGCTGTGGCAGATCCAGTGCCATATGCTGGGGATACAGCAGGATAAAGGACAGACAGTCCCTGCCCTCACAGAGCCCTGGGAGACAGAGGGGCAAGCAGATAGGTTACGTCCAGCATGGTCAGTGCTGTGATGTGGGATGCCCAGAGGAGGAACCTCACCCAACTTGCAGGTCGGGGAAGGCTCTCCTTCTCCACATCTCAATTTTGACCTGAAGAAGGAGAAAAATGACCCAAGAGGCCTGGGGCAAGCGAGGAGGGGAGGGGTAAAGGTGGTCAGGCTGAATGCTCCAGGCAGGGGGAGTCCATGCAGTGGACTGGTGGTGAGCCAGGCACACAGAGAGCCCCACGTGGCTCAGGAGGCTGCAGTGTGAAGACAGGGGAGACTGGAGTGGCAGACAGGGGCCGAACCATCAGGGCCTTTGGAGCCATGCTACAGAGAGGGCTCTATCCTGGGGCCAGAGCAGAGCCATGGGAGGGCTTGGCAGTGATTGTTGCAGACCACTCTGGCCCTGTTCTGAGGTTGGAGGGGCCAAGACTACGGTAGGGAGACTGCGTCCAAGGCAGGAGCAGTATTCCCGGAAAGAGAAGGTCGTGGCTGAGCTGGAGCAGAGGCAGTGGGAGGGAGGAGAGGGATTTGAGAGTTATTCTGAAAGTGAAAATGGGACTAGGGATGAGCCACTGGGGTTGGGGAGGTGGGAGCACTGTGGAGAAGGAGCAGGAGGAGGGCAGGGGGATGGTGAGGACTCCTATGCTCTTCCATTGCTCATGCCAATCCGCTGTTTCTTGCAAAATACGCCATGTGTATGTTGTGTTATCATTAGAATCATAAATGCCAGTTACTGAGCCTTTGAAATTCCACATCTAACACCATTGAATCCTTCCAGCACAGTATACAATCCTTAAAGAAAACGAACATTTCCTTTCAAACGCTAGAGGCCTGAACAGTCTCCCCTGACTTGTGAGCTTCCAGGATTGCTGAGACGGTCAAAAGAGGCGACAGTCACAGGAATTGGTCTTCCTGTCCTCCCACCGTCTGCAGTGCTGGAGGCTCTGTGTGCATCAGCTCACTGGTACCCCCAACAACTTCAAGAAGGGACTGTTGTGATCTCCACTTTACAGGTGGGGAAACTGAGTTCCAGAGACATCGCGTGTCCAGAGCCACTTAGCTAGAAAGAAAGAGAATGCACCAGGTTCTGTGACTTTTAAGACCCCAACATCCTGTTCTCTGCTCCCATCCCCCCACGCCGCAAAGCCCCTGGAGGCTGCAGAGCCGCTCCCTCCACTCGCATGGCTACACCCCAAGGAGTGTGCTGGGCTTGGCTAGCTGCATGCCGAGCAGCCTCTGTCCAGCAGGAGAACTGATTAGATTGGATTAGATAAGGCAGACCTGGCAGCCTGCTCATAGCTGTGGGGAGAGCTTGTCAGATGGCCCCAGGACAGGTGCTGCTGAGTCCCGACTTTTTTTGGGCGGGGTGGCAGCCCTTGTCATCGGCCTTTCCCTGTCCTAGGTCAGCCATCTTCAGCCTGGGGATGTGAGCTCCCGGAGGCAGGTGCAGACTTCGGAAGGGCATGTGAGAGTGGATCTCTGTGAGGATCCAATGCCAGAAACTCAATCTCTCTCCTCCTTCCCCGCAGCGGCCCCAGCCTCCTACGGAGCTCCTGTCTCACCTCTGGCCCCTGGAAAGAAGAAAAGTCACTCAGTAATTTCCCCCTGTGGATACATGAAGTAAATGGAAAGGAAGAAGAGAGAGAACCCCAGCCATCTCATCAAGGGACACACTTTCCATAAAATTTTAATTCTTTGTTTAATAATTATTTATAAAAAATTTGTAACACATTTCTGTTGTTTTGATCGATTGTGTACTAACAATAATCCAAAAGAAGTGTTTTAACACCTAGAGCTTTGTGATCACCAGAAAAATTTTTGTATTAAATTTTAGTCTGTAGTATATACGTGCCTTTGTTGCAGAGAAATAAGATAAGATGATCAATAAAAGACTTCTAGGCAAAAAAATACATTTCATTAGGATGATATTTGATGGCAGAGTAGAATGGAAATATGAGTTCAAGTACAAAAAATGATCGTAATATCTCACTTGTTCATGCATTTTGTAGATGGATGATTGCAGGTAAAACTGCTATAACGTCCAGATTCCATTGAGTACATCTAGAAGAGCAATGTAGCAATGTCATAATCTTGTTACTTACGATAGACAGGAAATTGCATCTTTGGCAACCATTTAAACTTATGCAAAGTTTCAGTGTCGATCTAAAAATGTGCAAAAGGGATGTGTGAGCAAAAAAAAAAAAAAAAAAATGTGTGAAGACCCCTATCCGAAATCATACCCCACTTAGTAGGCATTTACTCTTCATTCTTCATGTCGACTCCATGCATTTACTGCAAGTAGTTGATGCCTCCCTTCTGGATTACCAGCTGCTAGAGAAGGACTTGTTTGTTGATCTGGAGCTCGGTCCCCTGGCTAGATGGTCTCCTTCCTCTCCAATCTTCCTCTCCTTCCTCTTGGTTGCCACATCTTCCCTGTCTCCCACTCCTTGGTCCTGAACAACCCCGAGGCTCAATTCTAGACCATTCTCTCTCTATCCTCTCTCTCTGGGTGAGAGGGCCCCCAACTTTCTCTCTCCAGATCCTGCATCTGGCTGCACGCTGGACGTCTCCACTTGGCTAGTCACCAGCATCTCAGCATCCACTTGGTTAAAACGCAAGTCTTGATTGTTTTCTCCAAATGTGTCTCTCCTGCCGTGGTCCCTACCTCAGGAAGTGGAACCATCTTACCCCAGTTGCTTAGTCCCAAACCTAGGGGTTGTCCTGGATTCTTTTTCCCTAGCTTCCACTTCTAATCCATCAACTGGTTGCCGGCCCCATCTCCAAAACATATCCCAATATGCTTCAGTCTCCATCTCCTTGGCCACCCGCTATCCAAGCACCATCATGGATGGCCACAGTAGCCCCTTAGAGGGTCCGCACATCCACCCTTGTCCTCTCTGATCCATTCTCCCCTTGACAGAGATAGGTGGTCTTTTCACAACAAACTAGATCATGTCACTCCTGCTTTGAACCTGTCAATGGCTTCCAAAAGCTCTGAGGAAAAAACCCACCCTCTGACCTCAAAGCTCCACGTGACGTGCCCTTGCCTTCCTCTTAGACGTTTTCCCATCCCGCATCCTCCCTAGTTCTCAGCCCCAAGCCCCTTCTCTCTCCTGCCTTGCACATCTCATTCTCTCTGCCTGGACTCTTGCTTCGGAGTCCCACCTGGCTAAGAAGTTTCAGCTTGAAGCCCACCCGCCCTGTCTAAAGTAACCCCACTCCCACCGCCAGTCACCTACTCTCCTATGGCCCTGTTTGTGTCCTTGCCTATTGTCCATCTCTCCCGCTGGCCTGAGAGCTTCAGGAGGGCAGGGACCTTGTCTATTGTGTGCTGTATCTCTAATTCCTAGAACTGTGCCACATACACAGTAGGCACTTAATAAATATGTAGTTAATGTTCAAGGATAGAACACTCTGCAAGAGGGCAGGCTCTGATCTGGGGGCCAGGGATGCTGCTATAAACTGAATGTTCTCATCCCCCCAAATTCGTATGCTGAAGCCTAACCACAGTGTGATGGTATTAGGAGGTGGGGCCTTTGAGAGGTGATTAGGTCATGAGGTGGAGGCCCTAGCATTAAGATGTTAATAACAGGGAAAACTGGGTGTGGGCTACATGGAAACTCTGTACTGTCTT